CACTGTCAAGGATTTGAAGATGCAGGCAGGCATTGTGGTTCCCCACATCTCCCTGTAACTCTATCTGGCCAGTGTAGAAGACGGATGGACTGTGGAGAATGACAATTGACTATGAAAAACTCAATCAAGTTGTGACTCCAATTGCAACTGCGGTTCCAGATGTGGTGTCCTTACTAAAGCAATTTAATACATTTCCTGGTACATGGCATGCAGTTACTGATCTAGCAAATGCCTTTTCTTGGTACCTGTCTATAAGGACCATGAGAAGCAACTTGATTTCAGTTGACAAGGCCAGCAGTATACATTTACATTTTACTTTAATAGGATATATTAACTTTGCAGCCTTGTGTCATCATTTCATTTGAAGGGATCTCTTCAACAAAATATCACATTGGTTCACTATATTGATGACACTATGCGGACTGGACCATGTGAGCAAGAGGTTTAGACTTCTTGTTAACACATGCACATCAGATAAGAAATAAATCCAACCAAACTACCTGAGTGAAATTCTTAGGAGTTCAGTGGTGTGAGACATGCAGAGATATTCCTTGTAAGGTGAAGGACAAGGTATTGCATCTGGCCCCTCCCACCACCAAGAAAAAAAAACCACAATATTTAGTGGGCCCATTTGAATTCTGGAGACAGCACATTCCTCATTTGGGTGTGTCATGCCGGCCCATATACTAAGTGACTCAGAAAGCTGCTAGTTTTGTGTGGGGCCTGGAACAGAAGAAGTCTCTCAACATGTCCAGGCTGCTGTACAGGGTGCTCTATCACTTGTATCATACGATCCAGGAGACCCAATGGTACTTGAGGTGTCAGTGGCAGATAGGGATGCTGTTTGGAGCCTTTGGCAGGCCCCTATAGGTGAATCACAGAAGAGACCTTTGAGATTTTGAGCAAGGCTCTATCATCATCTGCAGACAACTATTCTCCCTCTGAAAGATAGTTCTTGGCCTGCTATTGTACCTAAGTGGAAACTGAAAGTTTTACAATGGGCTACCAGGTTACCATGTGACATGAGGTGCCCATCATGACCTGGGTATTATCTGATCCATCAAGCTATAAAGAAGGATGTGCACAGCAGCAATCTATTAGCAAATGGAATTGGTATATACATGATCGGTCGCAAGCAGGTTCTGAAGACACAAGCAAGTTACTTGACAAAGTTGCCCAAATGTCTATGGTTTACTACTCCCATTATAATGCCATCTGCTTCCAAGCATGCACCTGCAGCCTCATGGGGTGTGCCCTATGATTAGTTGACTGAGGAAGAGAAGACTAGGGCCTGGTTTACTGACGGTTCTGTACATCATGAAGGCACTAGGCACCACCCAGAAGTTGACAGCTGCAGCATTACAGCCCCTTTCTGAGACAACCCTGAAAGACACAAATCTTCACTGTGGGCACAACTTCAGGCAGAACACATGGTCATACATTTTGTTTGGAAAGAGAAATGGCCAGATGTGTGACTGTTCACTGATTCATGGGTTTTAGCCAACAGACCGGCTGGATGATCAGGGGCTTGGAAAGAGTGATCGGGAAATTGGTGAGAAAGACATCTGGGGAAGATGTGGACAGATCTCTCCAAATGGGCAAAGGATGTGAAGATATTTGTTTCCCATGTAAATGCTCATCAGAAGGTGACTTCTACAGTGGAGGAGTTCAATAATCAAGTAGGTAAGATGACCCGTTCTGTAGACAGTCTTTTCCCCCAGCCATCCTGTCACTGGCCCACAAAGAAAGTGGTCATGGTGGTAGAGGTGGTGGTTATGCATGGGCCCAACAACATGGACTTCCACTCACCAAGGCCGACCTGGCTACAGTGCCAGATCTGCCAACAGCAGAGACCAACACTGAGCCCTAGATACAGCACCATTCCCTGGAGTGACCAGCTAAGCAACCTGGTGGCAGGTTGACTACACTGGCCACTTCCTCTGTGGAAAGGACAAAGCGTTGTAATAAGTTCCAGTAGATCCTTATTCTGGTTATGGATTTCCCTTTCCAACACTTAATGCTTCAGCCAAAACCACCATCTGTGGACTGACAGAATGCCTGATCCACCAACATGGTATTCCACACAGTATTGCTTCTGACCAAAGAACTCACTTCACGCCAGAGACATCCAACAGTTGGCCCACAATCAAGGAATCCACTAGTCTTCACCATCCTGAAGCCTCTGGCCTGACAGAAAGCTGGAAGGGCCTTTTGAAGACATAACTACAGCACCAATTAGGTGGCAGCAGCCTGGAGAGCTGGGGCAGGCTCTCCTTAAGGCACTATATGCTTTGAATCAGCATCCAATATATGGTACAGTTTCTCCCCTAGCCAAGATCCACAGGTCCAGGAATCAAGGGGTGGAAGAGGAAATGGTTCCACTCACTATCACCCTTAGTGACCCACTAGGAACATTTTTTGCTTCCTGTTCCTGAAACCTTAAGTTCTGCTGGCCTAGAAGTTTTAGTTCTAGATGGAGAAGCTCTCCTGTCAGGAGACACAGCAAACATTCCATTGGATTGGAAGCTGACTTCCCCTGGCCACTGTGGGCTTCTGATGCCCTTAAGCCAACAGGCTAAGAAAGACACACCAATATTAAGAGGGGTTACTGATCCAGATTACCAAGGGGAAATTGGATTGCTTCCCCCAATGGAGGAGGATAGATTATGTTTGCAGTGCAAGAGATCCTTTAGGGTCTCTTGATGCTACCGTGTCCCGTGACTAAAGTGAATGGGAAACTACAACAGCCTGATCCAGGAAGGATGACAAAGGGCACAGACCCTTCAGGAATGAAGGTATGGTTTCCTCCAGGAAAAGTCAAGACCTGCTGAGGATGGAGGAAATGCAGAATGGGTAGTGGAGGAAGGTGGTTAGAAATACCAGCTAAGGCCACGTGACCATTTGCAGAGACAAATTAAAACTTACATGAGTATTTCTGTCATATTTTGTTAAGTATGTGTTTGTACAGATACTTGTGGTTTTCCCTCAATTTATCATGTAATGTAACATCAAGAAAATATCAGTAGTTATCATATTTAAGTTCTGAGATATTAAGAGTATCTCTCACGGGACATTGCCATCTATTCTAAAATTTGTAATGCCTTTGCAGTTATACGAAGAATGGTTATGTTAGAAATAATTATGACTTGGTTATTATTTTCATTTGGAAATTTAGCATAACAGAAAAGATACAAATGTGTGTCAAGTAGAGCTAAGGAAAATTTCAGAAAATTACATTGGTAATACAGAAAACTGGTACCTGAGAAGACATATGAAGTCAAATTACATTTTGTAAACAAGAGGAAGCCACTGCAGTACACATTTTCCCTCCTCAGGGGAATCTAATAATTAACTCAGGTTTTCTCCAACACCTGTTACACTGTTGCAAGCATATTTTAATAAAGGCCTGAAGTCAATAATATAATCCACTTTCACAAATTAGATAAGTAATTTACTTAAATATATTACCAAACATTATACTTCCTAAGTTTATACAAGCTCCTACACTGAAATGATTAAAGGTGATAGCACCTGCCAGCATCTACTAGGGCCTTCATGTTTCACTGAGTTCTTAGCATCCTCATCTCTATAACACAGATTCAGTCACTTTCTGTCTTACATTTTTTAAATTATGGATGTGTGTGTGTGGATACTCACTTTCCGGGTGCTCGTGCTGAGGATAACGGACAACCCTGTAGAGTTGTTCTCCTCCCACATCCACATGGGTTTAGGGGACCAAACTCAGGTCACCCAGCTTTTGCTGCAAACACTTTCACTCACTAGCCATCAAGCCTAGCCCCTTCTCTACACTTTTTAAACTCCATTGATTTTGGCAGTTAACCTGACACTCTTTGTACCACCACAGCTTTATTTCTTCTATCCTAAAAAAGAAATTCTTTGACTTTTAGTCGGTGTCCTAAATTAAGTATAGTACCTTTTCATCTTCAAGTTCTGAGCAAATTACCTCATTAGCAATTCCATGAATTCACCTCACCCTGAAAGGTCTCAATCAGTACTTAATCCTTTTTAGAAGACAGCTTAGAAATAAACCAAGCAGTGAAATACATCTTAAAGCTCTACTTTTTCACTCACATTTGGTATCACTTCCTATAACTTGATATGATATTCATCAGAGGAAATTAAAGCAAATTATGAAATAATGCATTTTACTTTAAACACTTGGTGATCAGCATCTTTCTTTTCTTTTCCTTTAAGACAGGGTCTTGCTATAGCCCAATTTGGCTTGGAACTCAAGGTCCTCTCTTCCTTAGGGTGTGTATGCACCTCTCTCATCCAGCGCCACTTCGGTTTCTTTAAAGTATGTTAAACCACTAAATTTAATTACCAAAAAAAAAAAAAATCTAAAACTGAATTAAAGTAGAATTAAGGTAAATATACTTCCCACCCTGGGAGAGGGAGACTGATAATCCAAATTTCCTCAAATATAATCTCACTCTTTCTTTTGTAATTCTAGTTTTAAAAAAAAGGGGAGGGGGGCTACTTCAAATTCGGCATTGGATCTGAAATTTCTACGTTTTCGACTCATTTTAACGATTTTTTCCAAAGGCAGCAGACCAATTCTTAACCTGCAGCTAGCTGTTGAGGTGCAGGGGTTCCAAAAAAACTTAAATGGTGTGCAAACTTCATGTGCATTTTCGAGGGAGAGCCATAGCTATCTTCAGAATCTCAAGGAAGTCTATATATTTTCTTAATGTCGTTAAAAAAAATTCTGCGTTAGTATTATAGTCAGCTGGAGTGACAAAACTGTGTATGTGTGTCGGTGGGTGCATCTGAACTATACAATCACCGCTAAGTGTCTAAATAAAATACATCCTTTCATCCAGTGACCCAGATCCTGACACTGGCCTTCCAACCCGAATGTCTTCTGGTTTAAAATGAGGAAAAGCAGTTCCATTTTCCCCACCCTCAAAATTCAATCTCCCACCGACCCTCCGCATCGGGTCAGGTTCCGAGCCTGAGAAGGGCAGGAGCTCGCGTACCTGGGCGCTGGTTCGATTAAGGTGGTAGTATCCAGGTAGTGGATCTTGTAGAACTCCAGCAAGGCCGGCAAATGATCAAACTCCTGGTCCCCGATCTTAAAGCGGCGGTTGGGCAGGGAGTTGATGATGTAGTGCGAGACACGCGAGTTCTCGGACACGGACAGTACATAGTCCCCGGGGCAGGTAGAGGAGTCCCGGACTAGGAACATGCCATGGCGCTGGCCCTGGAGACGGGTCTGCGCCTCCTGGCGAGACACTGGTCCCATGTACCAGGCAGAGCGGTCTGCAGAATCAAACCTGGCGGACGACATGGTGTTGGGTCCAGGGATGGGCGGCGTCTGCTGCTCTCGCCTGCTCTTGCAGCCTTTACCCGCTGTCGGCTTTGGGGCCGAGGAAGGGCCTCTCGGAACACCTCGAGGCGCAATCAGAGGGCTGGGTCAGGACGTTCCTCTCGGCTCCGGGCCCCGCAGCATCCTCCGCCACCGCCCGCCTGCACCGGGCCGGTTTTTGCGGCCCGGGAACACGGGGCAAAGCCCGGGGGTCGAGGTGGGCGAAGCCGAGCAGTGGCGGAGGCCGCCTCGGGCTTCTCGGCTGCCCGGCGTCCAGGGGTGGCTCCGGTGACTTCTGTCCTGGACCCCGCCGGCTCCGCAGCCTCACGAGCCCGCACCGGCCCTCGCCGTCCCACGAAGCCGCCTACTCCACCAAGAGTCGCGCCTCCCGGGCCCTTCTACCCAGCCCGCTCCCAATAGCCACAGCAACAAAATGGCGGACGCGGGAGAAGCGGCCGGGCACCTCCCCCTTGGTCCAGCGCCCTCGGCCTGCGCACGCGCGGAGCCGGGCGCGGCCCCCACCGCGGGGGCCCTCCCGTGGACGTCTCTGGGCGCAGCCAATCAGGAGTGCGCTCGCGGGGGTCCCGCCGTGAGCCGCTCGTGCTGGCTCCCGCGTTCCGGGAGGAGGCCGAGGAGGCGGTGGGTCAGGCCCTTCCTGGGCCGCAGAGTGGCAGCCGGGCCGCCGCCGCCGCCGCCGTCGGGACGCCTGCCCTTGGCAAGAAAACAGCTGGAGCCGGGAGGGAACGGCGATTTGAAAACCCGTTTCTGGGAACAAAGCGTAACGCGCTGGCAGAAGGTCTGGCCAGGGAGGCGTGGCCCTCAGGTGACTGCGAGCCAGAGGGCCCTGATCTATCACAGGGTGAGGTGACTGTCCAATAGGTTACTGAATAACGCCTGCCCTAGGTGATCCAACTTGGCACACGTGGAATGATGGTGAAGATCAGCTTTAGGAAGACTGCAGTCAGGTGACAACCAGGCCACCACAGGTACGCAGTACCTGTATCTGGCTTGAAGGTCTTGCCTGCTCTAGCTCGTTGCTCTCCACACTTCATTTCCTGCCATTCCACGTTGCTCAGCTCCAGCCATGCCCTCCCAACATATTTTCTCCCTCCATCCCCACTAGGATCAATATTTTTTCTTTTGTTTGAGGGTGGGGCATTCAAGACAGAGTTTCTCTATGTAGCCCTGGCTGTTCTGAAACTCACTCTGTAGACCAGGCTGGCCTCGAACTCTCAGAGATCCGCCTCCCTCTGCCTCCTGGGATTAAAGGTGTGCGCCACCACTGCCAGGCTAGGATCAAATTTGAATACAACAGGGATACTGCCTTATTCACCTTTAATTTGCTAGCCTTAACACCATGAATGTCTTGAATGATTAGACATTTGTTAAATGACTATTGTAAAAAATCACCAACAGACTGATGCTGCGTTATCATAACGTTTCCAAATTGGATGAACAGAAAGGCATGTCCCAAGCCGGGGGTGGTGGCACACCAGTAATCCCAACACTGGGGAAGTGGAGGCAGGAGGATCATGAGTTCAAGGCCAGCTGAGCTATATAAGAACCGACCTAAAACTGAAAGTTAGAGGAGGGGGAGGTCTCAAAAGTGAGAAAGACAGGAGAAGCAAACCCTACTTAGGTTTCTGTCAGTGACATTTCATTCTGGCCATTTGTATTTCCCATGTTCAGCAAATCTTAGATTGTAGGGTAATAGGTGGTTTCTTCCCGGTGGTAAGTAAGCAAATGTCAAGGTCTTTTGCCTATCTGTAACTCATCAGAAGCATGTTTTTGCCTTCCCCAAAGATGCTTTCATGGAGCATTGGCAGGAAGATTGCTCGGAGAGTAAGGTCTCCCCAGCCAAGCTTAACCATCTGATTGGATCCCAGGGTCTGAGGATGGAAGGAGAACCAACATAAGAGAGTTGTCCTCAAGCTGGGCAGTGGTGGCACACGCCTTTAATCCCAGCACTCAGGAGGCAGAGGCGGGCAGATCTCCGTGAGTTTAAGGCCAGCCTGGTCTACAGAGTGAGTTCCAGGACAGCTAGGGCTACACAGAGAAACCCTGTCTCAGAAAAAAAAATCAAGAAAGTTGTCCTCTGACTTCTGTGTAGGGTGGTGGTACACACTCGCACATCATACACAAATACACACAAAAAACATGCTTTATGTTTATGTTGTTTCAGTATCAGCTGAAATTTGTATAGCTGAGATTTTGAATTTGACCAAGTTTAAATCATAGTTGAAGTTCAAATCAGTTGGGCTACTTAATCATTCTTTGCCTCCCCCTGAGACTACTAGCATTTATCTCCTAATAAATGTACTAGCCTGCTATGGCGATGCATGCCTTTAATCCCAGCTCTCCAGAGGCAGAGGCTGGAGGATTCAATTAGTCCAAGTTTGTGGCCACCCTGGTCTATATATTGGCTTCCAGACAAGCCAGGGATACATAACAATACCCTATCTCAAAAAGCAGAAAAAAAAAACAACAAACATTTTACTGTTTAAAACAACCTTGGACATTTGAATTATAACCTGTTTTTATGTTCAGGCTATCTGTGTATTATTTCTCCTGCAGTTGTACATAAAATGTTTTTACATTAAAAAAAAGGACAAATACTATAGAATTGTATTACATGAAATATATAGAATACACAAATTCATAGAGATAGAAAGATTAGACATTATCTCAAGATAGAGAAGAAAGAAATATAGAGCAATGATTTCCTAAGTACAGAATCTCTGTTTTGTGTGATGGAAAACCCCCACAAATGGACAGTAGTATCAGGACATAATATCATGGATGTAATAAATCAATACAATTAATGTAATTAATGAATATCATAGATATAATTATTGAATGAATACTTCGAATGTAATCAATGAATACCACAAATGTAATTAAAATCATGAGTATAATTAATGAATATCATTAGTGTAATTAAAAAATAAATTTTTTAAAAAAGCAGAAAAACAACAACAACACACACATACACACACAAGAAACAACTATATTCTCAGCTACTCCAGAGGTTGAGCAGGAGAGAGAGCTAGCCTACAAAACATCATTTTTATTATTTTTTTTCTATCATCAGCTTGATACAGTACAAATTCTTATCCTAATAGTGAAATGTTTCACTGAAGCTTGCCCAGTGATTGAGTAAAACCAAAACTTATTATAAGCCACAGTCATCCTAGGGTCCCCCCTGCTATGTAGTCTCCCTGGTTCTGTGGGTTGCAGTCTGGTTGTTCTTTGCTTTATATCTAGTATCCACTTATGAGTGAGTACATACCATGTTTGTCCTTCTGGAAAACATCATTTTTTTGAGACAGGGTTTCTCATTGGCCTAGAGCTCGCCAAGTAGACTAGGCTAGCTAAGCAGTGAATTGCAAAGATCCAACTGTCTCTGCTTTCAACATTGAGATCACAAACACATACCACCACCCCTAGCTTTTTTTATGTGAGTTCTGAAGACTGGATTCAGGTTCTCAAGCTTACAAAGCAAACATTTTATCCAAAGAGCTGTCACTCCATCCTCTGGTTTGTTTGATTGGTTTTTAAAAAATATTTATTATTTATTCTTTGAGAATTTAATTCATATATACAATAAATTTTGAGCATATCCACTACCCACCCCCTCCTTCCACCAATCCTCCCCTCTTGGAATCCCTAAATATTATGTTCCCTTCCCAATTTCATGTCTTTTTTTTTTTTTTTTTTTTTTCTTTTTGAGACCAAGTCTCACTTTGTAGCCCTTGGCTGTCCTGGAACTCACAGAGAGCAACCTGCCTCTTCCTCCCGAGTTCTGGGATTAAAAGGGTAGGCCACCACACCCCACTGCTGTGGCTGCTGCTTCTCCTCTTCCTGCTCTTGCCCATTGTCTACAGATGTGGTCTTCAAAGTATCATGCATACCTTGAAATCCCTGCTGGTACTTACTATTATTTCGTCTTTGTCCTGGTTGGATGGTTCCAATTGTTCTACCTTCTTTTCAAGCTCAGCTATGTTTTCCTCCTTTTCATCTTATATTGCTGAGATTTCCCCCAGAGTTTGTTATTTGACTTACTATGTTTTTAACTTCTATTATTTCAGACTTTTTTCTTCATATTTCTAAACTCAAACTTAGTCAAAAGGCCAAGAAACAATTTTCTTTGATACTTATTTTTTATAACTTATTATTTTATTTAATGTGCATTGGTGTTTTGCCTGCATACATATATGTCTGTGTGAGGTTGTCAGATCTTGGAATTACAGACAGTTGTTAGCTACCATGTGGATGCTAGGAGTTGAACCTGGAAGAGCAGTCAGTGCTCTTAACCATTGAGTCATCTCTCCAGCCCCCTTCTTTGATTTTTCTATCTGTTGAATTCCTCCTTTATATTAACCATTGCCCTTTGTTTTGGTTTTTTGAGACAGGGTTTCTCTGTGTATCTTTGGCCGTCCTAGAACTAGCTTTGTAAACCAGGCTGGCCTAGAACTCAGAGATCCTGCCTCTACCTCCCAAGTGCTGGGATTAAAGATGAATGCTACCACTGCCCAGGTGATTGCCTTTCTTATTTGTCTCAGCTGTTTGTGTTTTTAGTATGATAATTATTTTATCCTTATTTTAAGTTCTTTCTCTGGGATTTCATTTAATTCACTCTCATTAGATGCCATTACTGTGGGGTTAATAATTTTTGAGGAGTTATGTTGTGTTGGTGTCCTGGTTTCATCCCTGTTGACGTGATAAAACACCCTCACAAAAACACTTTAAGGGAGAAAGGACTCATGTGGCTCACAGTTCAGGTTGGACTCTATCACTCTAGGAAATCAAGGCAGGAACTTGAAGCAGCCAGCCAAAGTAACAGACCAGAGTAGAAGAGGGGCTGGAACAGTGGCTCAGTGGTCAAGAGCACTGGTTTGTTTTCCAGGGAGACAGGGTGTGATTCCCAGTGTACTAATGGCTGTTCACAACTCTTTGGAGCTCAAGGCTCGGGAAATCCAATACCCTCTTCTGGTCTCCAGGGGGACTGCGCTCATGTGGTACACACAAAATAATAAAAATAATGACAACAAAAAAGCAGAGAAAGAATCAATGCATTCATGCCTACTACTGCTCAGCCCACTCTCTACACTTGTATAGTCCAGAACCAAGACCCAAGGGATAGTGTCATCCATAATTAATATCGTTGAGACAATCCTCCATAGACCAACATGATCTAGACAATCTCTTGTTAAAACTCTTACACCAGATGATGGTGGTACACGCCTTTGATTCTAGCACTCAGGAGGCAGAGGCAGGTGGATCTCTGAGTTCAAGACTAGCCCGGTCTACAAAGCAAGTTCCAGGAAAGCCAGGGCTACACAGAAAAACCCTGTCTCAAAAAAACAAAACAAAACAAAAAAATCAAAAAACATTATTTTTCTTCTTCTGGAACTGAGGA